AAAACAGCCTTTCATCCCCAGATACTGATCTTGAACTTTTCTCCTTTATCATTAAGGATTTTTTTCTTAATATAAAATAATATGAGCTCAAAAAAATTGAGAACACAAAAAAGCATGTAAACTAAAAAATTATCATTGGAATGATGCAGAATCGTGCTTAATTCTGCTGCAGAGAACCTTTCACAGTCTGACCCTAAACTATCATTTTCTACCATTCCAAAAACAAGCCCAGACTTTTTCTCATACTGTTCCCTTTGCCTGGAATACACTCTTTTCCTTCTTTCATTTGTAGAATTTCTGTTCTTCCTCCAAGGCCCACCTTAAGAGTTACCTTTTCACAAGAGAGCTGCTAACTTTCCCATCTATGATGCTGCCATTCTTTTGTACATAGCTCTGTTTTGGTACTCACCCATCAATGTATCAAAATTGTGTGTCTCTGTCTCCCTAACTAGGCTAGGAGCTCCTCCTATTTATCAGAGCCTAATCCTTACACCAACATAGATGGTGTTGACAAATGTTGAAAGCAGCAGAGTCCTATTTAGGGCAGAATGACTTGTACCAGACCTGAAACTCATTGATTCTTTCAAGACATGTTTTGTTGTTTTGTTCAGAGGGTGGAAGGCACCACTGAGCTTACAAAGCTGCCCAGCCAAACCAGAGCAGCAATCTGAGAGGCAGTGGGAGTAAGCATTGATTTTGGACCAGGGAGCTGAGATCAGCTTTTGTTCTTTCCTTTCTAGGTCATTTACTAGTGTCACCTAATCCATTGCCCTTTAAACCAAGTCAGAGAGGAAAGGGAGGAAGGGGAGTGCAGGATGAGGAAGGCTGGAATACATAGATGTAATTTCAGGAGGGTGTGACTTTCTCACAGGTTAGCAGTTGAGCCAGAAGCTTGGTATGTAGATGCTGAGTGGACTATATTCAACTACATATTTTGTGTTTGGAAAAGGGAGAGATAGTGCTCAGGTCAGAAAATATCAAACTTTGGGGGGATATGCAAATGACAAGGTAAGCAGTATCATAGGGGATGTGGTAAAAGAGACATTCGATAGAGCAAAGGAGGGACAGGCTGACATCTGAGATGTGCTGAAAATATTCGAGTTAGAAAGGGCTGTGAAAATATCATTTCTTCTATTCTGATTGTCCTACTTGTACATCTTGTCCTATCCTCACTGGTTGAAATCTGATGACAGATATTTTCAATATTTGTGCCTGCAAGGATTGCCGAGTCCCTTACTTAGACCACCGGTTGGGTTATCAAATTGCCTTTAAATTGAACTAAGCAATTTCTAAGATTAGTTGTGTGTTGCAAACTACCCAGTTGGGGGCAGACAAAACAAACAGATGATTTCTGAATGCTACCAAAGGAATCCTGCATTTCTTTGTGTGTTTTTATTTTAATAAGGCAATGGAGCTTTTCAACTCATAATCAGATTCAGACAGCTTGCTTACAACCTCCACAGACTGAAAGCTACAATAGGGTTTCTTTCCAATTATCAGATTTTCAACCACAGAGGATGGCTGTGGAGCATGGGTGTGAGCGGTGCTGGAGGCACATGTATTTTTTTGGACAGTGTGAAATGCTGTGCAGAGAAATTTACATACAGAGAAATTTACAAAGGTACTACCACTCTGCCCAAACAAGCCCTCTTAATAACATCAGATTGCAGGGAGGCGGGCAGTGCATTTAGCAAGAGAGCATCTTAACCCTCAATTCTGCACTCTCCCTAAGAGGGTTTACAATGCCTATTTGAGAGAGTTAAATGAAATCAGACACTCTCCTGTTCTTTTCTTTTCTTATTCCGGCAGAGAATTCAGAAAGAAGGGCTCCATCTGAGTTTTGCTTCAGTTTGCAAAAAAGATAAGAAGCATTATGGGGTGAACTCATGTTTCCAACACCCAAGGAGTCCTACCTGACTGCAACTTAACTCAAGTCTACAGGTTTTGCCATTTTTCTCACTACTCTTTCTTTTCTTTGGGGGTTAGCAACAAAGTCAAAAATGAATCTAAACAAAGTGCCAAATCTGGGTGCTCAGCCAGGAACTCATTTACTAATTTTTTTCTTTTCCCTGGAGGAATCAACACCCATAGAGCTCTCCCCAATGAGGCAAAAGGGAATAGATCTCACAGAGCCCAAGAGAGAAGGCAGCAGGATCTTAATAAACCTCTTATTTACTTGTGTGTTTAGGTTGACGGGGTAAACTCAAAATGTGACTGGCATAGTGTGCTATTTTGAAAAAGCTTTACATGTGATTCTGTTACAAATTAATATACACATCTCCCATGAAGCCTCCACTCTACCTGGGCAGAGCTCTCCCCTCCCCTGTTGGCTGCCTCCACAGACTCTGCACATTCTCTGGCACTTATAAAACTGGTTCGAAATTATTTGTACTTAAGTCTATTTCCACATTAGACTGACTTGGGAGAGCAGAAACTATGTTTTGACTTTCAGTGCCCAATATACATTCTGGCACATAATAGGTGTTTCCCAAATTTCTGCTGAATTGAACAGCAGCAGCAAGAATAAAAAAATATATATACACATACATGCACATACAAACACACACACACACATATATATACACAGTACTATATATTTAATTTATATTATGCTGTAAATAAAAATTAATATAACAAAAACGAACATATTACAATTTGTTTCATTTTATGTATCATTTATAAATAATTAATATATAATATAAATTCCTCATTTCAGTGCAATATGCAAGAGATTTCCGCTAGTTAAAGATCAACAAGTAATGTTAATTTCTCAGGTGGTTTGGGCAGAATGAAAGCAATGGAAAACAATGGACAGGGCACAGACAGAAGCTAAAAAGGGCCTTGAGAAATGCCTTAATTTCGTCTTCCCAGAAAGACAAAAATTTCCCAAAGAACCCCTTTGCTATGTTGAAATGGTTCTGAGAACTCTGGTGCCAGGACCCCCGAGATGGTTTTAAATAAGTCCAAGGACTTTCTTAGCAGTCCAGGGATTAGGACTCCACACTTCCACTGCAGGGAGCGCAGGTTTGATCCCTGGTTGGGGAATTAAGATCCTGCATGTCTTGTGGCACTGCCAAAATAAAAAATATGTCCACAAAATCTTTGACACTCCTCTATTCAAGAGGCGGAGCTCAATTTCCCTCCCCTTGAATGTGGACTAGAACTGGTGACTTGTTTCTAACAAATCAAATACATCAGAAATGACAGTATATCACTTCCGAGACTAGGTTGTAGGAAATATTGCAGTTTTCTCCTTGCTGTCTTCCAGGGCTCACTTATCCTGGGGAAGTCAGCAGCCGTGTTGTAAGAACACGCAGAAGGGCCGTGTGGTAAGAAACAGAGGCCTCCTTCCAATCAACCAACTTGTTCCGCGTGTAAATGAGTCCCCTCGGAGGTGGACCCTCCTGCTTCCCGTCACCCATCAGCAGACTGCAGCTCCAGGTAACACCTTGACTGAAATTTCTTTGAGACTAAGGAGTACCCAGCTAAGCTGTCCGCAAAGTCCTGACAGAAACTGGGAGATAATAAATGTTTGTTGTTTTAAATAACTATGTTTTGTTGTCACTTTTTATTATATAGCCCTAGATAACCAACACAACCCAAAAGGTTCTTAAGAGGGGGATGCAAAAAAAAAAAAAAAAAGAATTATTGAGGACCCCGAAGAGCTTTTGTTTACACAATGTATATTTAGTGACATCTACTGTTTTAGAAATTAAAACTCAGGAAAAAAACTTTAATTTATTTATTATTAATTTTAAACCAATAACGAGTCTTGATATGCTAGCATAAATATCATTTTAATGAAAGAAGTGCGAAAAGCAGTAAAGGTTTTGTATTTTTGCAAAATATCTTCACTGCCTGGCTGAACAGGAGACAGCTACATTTCTGCATTGGCTTCTGTATTTAATGTGTTGCCATATATTATTTTGGTTGAAGTGTATGAATAAAAACCAGCTTCAGACAGATATGAAGTTAGTAAAAGGAAGATCTTACACACGTCTGAAAGAGTTTCTGGGACTCCCTGAGTTCTCAAATCACACTTCAAAACTGCTGCTCTAGGGAAACTAGAAATGTATTAGGTTGGAAGTCAACGAAGAAAATGGGACTTCCTGAAATGCTTTGGAGGACTGTCTCTCAAGTGGCCTTACTACCCTCTTACTCTAAACTGTGTCATATATGCTTAAGAGATGCCATTTCAAAATCTCCTGTAGTAAATGGGTATGAAAGAAATAATTTAGCCCAAATCTGAGACTGTAATTTTCCATTCCTAGGCCAATGTCTCTCAATCCTCTCAAAGTCATCACAAGGCTAAACTCACGCTAGTTATTCCTGAGCCAGTGGCAAAAGGTTGGCTACTGATGCAGTCCTTTTGGGGAAATCAATTCTTCAAGATTTGCACTGAACTTCCCAATCCAGTTTCTACCCTTTATTGGTAAGCATGAAACTAGAATAGTGAAGGAGGGAATCTGGATGGGGGAGGGAGGAATGAAGAGAATAAGAAACTTTAATTTGGTCCCTCAACTGCTGTCTTAAGGAACTGAAACCAAATCCTTTATCATTCTTAAAAGAGTGTGTGGAGTGCACATTGTAGGTGTGTACAAATCAGCATGCCTTGCCAGTTTTTCTTTGGTGAACTCACAGCATACTCAATGTCAGTAACTGGGAAAGACACAAACCAAGCCATGGAATTGTGAGACCAGATCATAAATAAAAAAGGTTTTGTTTAATCAATAAAGATCTTGAGAAATCTATTCCACTCCGTGTTGCTGTACTGGATATTTACATATGGTAAATTTACATTTAAATATGGTTTGGATATAATACAATATCTTTTTTCTTTTAACATTAACAGAGGATAGAATTTAATTAATTGAATGCTCTACTCAGAAGAACTAAATAACATGTATTTAAGAAGCTTCACTCCAGTGGGTTTTGACCTTAAAACAGCAATTGCTAATTGTATGCTGAAATAGAGAAGAAAAAAAAACAAACCCTCTCACCTTCTTCGGCTGGATAAGGTTTCTTCACGTTCTACACGAGCAACTTTTAATACCTTCTTGTCAATAAATAGATCTTCAGGATAATAAGCAGATCTATATTGACGTTGTTGAGAATGGGCACATAACTTGCCAATCTGAAAAAAGAAATGCAATATAATTATACGATACTTTCACAGATATGATAGTAGAAACAAATTCTGAAAAGCACTTCAATTTCTTCCCCAATTTCTTTTTAAAGAGCAGAACGAAGCTATTACTGGAGTCAAAAAAGGTGATACGCTTTTAAGGCAAAGAACCATCTGTGGAAAGGAAGGCTGAAGACTGGCGGGGGCACTTTGAGCACAGTCTATTCACAGATTTCCTAAGATGAAAATGCCTTATTTCTATAGTGAAGTCCACGTTAGAAAGGCCCCTCTACACAGGACTTATGCTACTGATATCTTTCAATGGCACTTGATATTCATCCCTAGAAGTTCACAAATGGAAACTGCCAAGTTTAGGAAGGCTTGGTGTAGGAAATGAGGGGGTGTGTGGGAGATGTACAGAGCAGTCTGTTAATAGAAGAGCAACCTCCTACACACAAAGTGATCTGATTCTTCTGAGCATTTTGCTAACTCTTTTTTAAATTATATAAATTTCAGGTGAACAGCATTCAAATTTAAAGTTTAGTGCTATTACACTCATAGCAATGATAAAAATGGCATCAGCTTTCTTATCTCAAATCTAAATGATTTATTTGGTGAAAATATCTGTAGATTTGTTATTTGTTCACTTTCAGTCAAAAGCCTGAATAAACTTCCATATAAGTATGAATATTAACATATGTTTCCCTTTGTGCCAGAAGCTATGCTTCGTTTCCTTGTGTGTTATTTTAATAAGGCAACTCACTGCGTGCTAAGTCGCTTCAGTCGTGTCCAGATCTTTGCGACCCTATGGACTGAAGGCCATGAGGCGCCTCTGTCCAGGGGATTCTCCAGGCAAGAATACTGGAGTGGGGTATCATTTCCTTCTCCAGGGGATCTTCCTGACCCAGGGATCGGACCCACGTCTCTTTACATCTCTTACATTGGCAGGTGAGCTCTTCACCACTAGTGTGGCAAAGGGCTTTTCAATTAATAATCAGATTCAGACTTCCTATTTTATAGCTGAGGAAATTGAGGTTCAGAAAGGTTATGTGACTTGCCTGAGACAAACAGGCAGTGGATTCACTGTCTGACTTGGAACCCACATGTCTGACTTCAAAGCTAATGCAACATCGCCTTCCAAGAAGGCGATGCTTGGTTTCCAGTTGCTTACATCCTATGTTTTGGGGGATAAGAAAGAATTCCCAGTTCTCGAAAACATAGACAAGGTTTAAATATAGACTGTATACTTTAGGAAAAATACTAGAGATACCTCATGAAGACAAAGGTTATATCTTTGTCAACTTCTATACCTCCATGGAATTCACACTGGATTTTATACACTGTTAGGCATTTAGTAAAGACATAATTGAAGTGAATTGAAGGAAAATCCTAGTATCTGATGTGGCATACCATTCCACCGAGAGGCCACGGGCTCTGAGTGCTAATCCCAGCTTCTGGATTTCTGAAGACGGTCCTGATCATACTCACTAAGTTATCAATCTCTTAATAAAGGGACAAATAGCATGTAGTTGGCATAGTTTTGGAAAGTTATCCATATATAAATGAATTTTTGAAGTATAAAAAAATCTAGAATCGCAGTAATATCACCTCCATTTATGAAAGACAGCGCCTATATAGTATGATATTCAGACTACCTTTTCTCAATAGTTTATCTTAATGAGAATAAAACAAAAGTTGCAGACATTTTAAAACATCCCATTTGGCTTTGGAATGTATGATACTGAATTTTTCAGATGTGTTTATGTAATGCCATTTGACTTGGGCTAATTAACTTCAAATGAAGAGTCTGTATTCTCTGAATTTGCCCCATTTGGTGGCAGTCTGGTAGGGTACTTTAGGTAGGGGCTGCCTGGCTGTACTGGGGAATTAAGTTCTAATAACTTACATAATGCAGCCACAAATAACTGAGGGCAGACTATGCATCATAAAATTACATCCTTAGACACATAGGCATTTCTTTGTTAAATTGCAGATGAACGTTCATGGAACAAAATCTTGATTTTCCTTCCATAAATATCTGTTTATGACTCTGTGAACACATATCAATGTTAGAGTTTATTTTGTAGAGATCCAAGTATTCTAATCAGCACATTCAGGAACACAGGACACACTTTCCTCATCGACACCTGTTTCAAATCCAGCACCAAAAATCAAAATCTTTCACACACCTTGCACAGTAACTTGCCTACTTGCAACCCACAGCTGCGAAATCTCCCTTGCCATTGAAAGTCTGCCCTTTGTATCAGTGAATACTAATTGGACCCCAGCAAGACTTTAAAGTTTTGAGTCCCTCCCAATCTACTGGAAAGGGGGACAGCTGAAGCAAAAGTAGGAAGGTTAAGAACAAATGAGAATGTAATAAGCCTGCAGTCTGACCTTTCTTCCCAAGCCACCCAATGTGGCATTATCAAGCCGACTTCCCAAGGCTCTGTGTGGGGTAAGGGGCAAACAATGGTATCCTGCCAACACCCCCACTACCCCATCTGAAATCTGCCACATCTTATCAGACAGGCTGTATTTTCTTCCACAAATCTACCATGAAGCAAATTCTTCTCATATACAAAGCATTTGTCAAATGTAGACCCCCCTTTGGGCCCTTCTCTCCACATCCTTCTCCTCCACACTGTGTGAGCTGTAGGTGAATATTATGAGCTTATTTTGAGAAGTAGACATAAAAAGAAAACATAATTTACAAAGAGATGCGGTGTTCACATTAAAGAGGTCCTTTCAGCTTCCTACTTGGGAAACCTCAGGCTATGCTGAGAGACCTGGCTCTTACTCTATAGCTGCACTTGCTAAAGAAGTCAGCCTCCCAAGTGGCATTTGAGAAATCAGTATCCTGCCCACGAGTTTTAGACTCTTAAATAAAAAGTGCAGTCCAATTTCTTCTCACTGACTAATGTACCTAGTCAAGGATACCACTACCTTTAAATCTACTTAGTTGTAGTGAATTTATTGGATACGAAGATGTCTCTATCAGTAGCCCAGGAATATAAAACCTTTTTGTTCTCCATGAACTGTGATTCCTAATGGTGCCTTTATTTATGTGCCAGAACCTGTGGCAGGGAAAGCAATAGTGCTCTGAAGTGTTATAAGACCCAAAGTGTTAGAAGAAGCCAGGGCCTCTGACCATATCCAGGCCAGCAGGTCATTGTTGGTTCTAGGAACTCTCAGGTGACAAAAAACTCAAACTTGATCTTTCCCTCTAACCAGAGTCCAGAAGCACTGGCTTTGCACATACATGAAGAAAATACACTGCTGGGCCCAGCAAGGTATTTGTAAGTAAGAGCCCAGTAGACTGGACATCAGAAAGTGTGGCCTACAACCCCACTTCTACCTGTCACTGAGAGAAGGACTTCCTTTTGACCTCTGATAGTTTCAATCCACCTGTAACTCTAGTCTCAAAAGAGGAAGATGTGTTATTTGAAGTGCCATATTTTTTATTCTAGGCTCCTTTGAAAAGGTGGGGATTCCTTTCCCAGTAGAGAACTTTACCGAAGATTTTGAAACTATGCCAAGCATTTGAGCTTGATGCAATTCACACATACACCCCATGATTGACATGTCAAGAAATGCAGATACTCTACTGATTAAATTCATTCTCAGGCTCCCATTCATTGTTGGTTCTAGGAACTCTCAGGTGACAAAAAACTCAGACTTGATCTTTCCCTCCAGACAGCTGAGCAAAGAGAGTCTATGTTGTAAGCTTCTCATCAATACCAATGCCTTGCATTTGTAACATAATATCTCACTCCAGCCTGGTGCTTCAACAGAAAACCTCTCCATCCATTCTCTATTCTATCCAGCACATCCTACCACAGTGCTCTGAGGCATAGTATAGGTATTATTGACCCTATCTTAGAGATAAGGAAACCAAGGCTCACAAAATTTAAGGAACTAAAACAGAGTCAAATTCCTAGTAAATGGCAGAGCTGGGGACTAGAACCCAGATCTACTTGACTTTAAAACTTATGTTTTTGTTTTTGCTTTTTCCCCCTATGCCATGGATTTATATCAAGAGGATCGACTCTGAGGCTTGGTATGGCCTGGTTCCGTAGTCATGTGGACATCCCACCCATAACTGCAAAAGATAATGATTATGAAACCTCTAAAACTGTACTTCAAAGAAGGGCTCATTTTTAAAGATCAATAGAAAAGTGATACCCAATTTAAAGCAAAGTTTCAGAAAGTATGGCTCATGGAGTGATTTAAACTCTTTGACCTGCCAGACAAGATTCATTTCATCACCATACCAAAGCACTGAATGTCAAGTTCTGTTGGATGTGGGAAGGGGGTTCTCAAGTAGGTCTAGCCTGCTGCTTACTGCCTGCAGGATATCCCTGGACCCTGCCTCCTAAAGGCAGATTCTTGGATTGGCTACAAAATGTAATTTCTACAATTTAACCCAGGTCTGCTCTGGTATCTGGCATGAGTATATCCCTTACAGTTTCTCCCCAAATGGAAATTCCAGGTTAATCCTATGGCTACAAGAATTCAAGAGGTTTATTTAAACTTTTAACCATAATGGCCTACATTAATGAGTATCTCTGACTCTCCCCTACTCTTAACTAGCCCTAACTGCTCTCGATTTAAACATCAGATGTATGACTTTACATTCTCTTTTTCAAAAAGCAGCTAAGGAGGGGTGGTGGGGTGGCTGGTGTGTGTGTGTGCGCGCGTGCACATGTGCGCTTTAACGTGTGTGTGTGTGTGTGTGTGTGTGTGTGTGCGCGCGCGCGCGCATGCGCGCTTTAACTTATATGGTCCATAACAGAAGGAAGAGCAGGAGGGACAGGGGGAAGAGGAGGAAGGAGAGAAAGCAGCAGAAGTTAAAAGAGAAAAGTTCCCTTCACTGAGTCAGTGGCGGAAGTCGAGCCAGGGACGACACATACTGCCCTCAGCAATCTGACCGCTTCTAATTGGGAAGATGGATATCCCACTGACTTGTCCTCAGTGAGCAGTGCAGCTTCTTTCCTCTCAAGAGCTGT